TAATAACTATGACTGAGTACAAATAGCACATAACAGGCAATTCAACAAGTAACGCGGCCTCAATGGGACTCAACAGTACCAACACATAGCCTATACATCGTTTCTAACATGATTTACAATAAATTTCCATAACACATAGAGAGCATATAGCTAACAATTCAACTTTACAGCTTATACGGGGTGGACCAAGTCACAATCCCCTTGGTGCACGCCCACACGCCCGTCACCTAGCATGTGCGTCACCTCCAAAATAGTCACAAGACACAATGTCCGGGGTTTCATACCCTCAAGACCAGATTTATAACTGCTACTTACCTCAATCCGAGCAAAATCCTACTCCGCGATGCCCTTGCCTCTCAAATCGGCCTCCAAACGTCTCGAATCTAGCCAAAAGTAATACAACACAATCGATATATGCCAAAGGAACCAATTCCATATGAAAACTACTAAATTGGGCTCAAATCCCGAAATTGGCTCAAACCCAACCGCCGGGCCCACATCTCGAAATTCGACAAAAGTCACAAAACTAAGAAACTCATTCACTCACGAGTCTAACCATACCAAATTCATCAAAATCTGACACGAAATGACCATTCAAATCCCCAAAATCATCTCTCCAATTCACAAGCCTAAAACCCCCAAATTAAATCTCAAAAACACACCAACTAGGTGGGAAAATCAGCGGGGAAACATAATTATTGAATAAAAATGAACACAAGGATCTTACCTCAAGAATCACCTTCAAAATCCTCTCAAAAATCTCCAAAAATGAGCTCAAAAATGTTAGAAGTGTGAAAAATCCTGGAACCCTCATTTGAACCTTTTTATACCGCCCAACGATACGTTCATCGCGAATGCGACCTCCTTCTCGTGTTTGCGTAGACCATTCTAACTGCCCCTCAATTTAACCCTTCGCGAACGCGAACCCGGCCTCGCGAACGCGAAGCTTTGCCGACCCCACTCTTTGCGAACGCGACCACTGCCTTGCGAACACGTAGACCAAAAGCTTGGGGTTCCGAGCGGTCTCTCCTCTTCTTCGCGAATGCGGTACTCCTCTCGCGTCCGCGATGCACTCAACTCCCAAACCTTCGCGAACGCGTCCCTTCCTTTGCGAACGCGAAGAACAAATCTCTCTCGATCTCCAGATGCTCTTCGCGTGCGAGACATGCCTCACGAACGCGTAAGACGAAACCAGCAACGACAAAATACCAACAAATCAACTAACATCCTAAGGCCAAAAAGGATCCGTTAACCACCCGAAACTCACCCTCGGCCCTCGGGACTCAACCAAACATACCAGCACATCCCATAACATCATACAAACTTAGTCGAACCTTCAAATCACTCAAAACAACATCAAAACCAAATTACACTCGGATTCAAGCCTAAGAACTAAACTTCTGAATTTCACAAACGATGCCGAAACCGGCTAAACCTCGTCCGGATGACCTCAAATTTTGCACACAAGTCAAAAATGACACCATGAACCTACTCCAACTTCCGAAATTCCATTCCGACCCCAATAACAAAATTTTCACTACCGACCAAAATCGCCAAAATTCTAACTTTCGCCAATTCAAGCCTAATTCTACCATGGGCCTCCAAATCACATTTCGAACGTGCTCCCAAGTCCAAAATCACCTAACGGAGCTAACAGAACCAGCAGAATTCAAATCCGAGATCGTTTACACATAAGTCAACATCTGGTCAACTTTTCCAACTTAAACCTTCTCATAAGAGACTAAGTGTCTCAATTCACTCCAAAATCACTCCGGACTCGAACCAACTGACCCAGTAAGACATAATACAGCTGTAGAACACAAAAGAAGTAGAAAATGGGGGAACGGGGCTGTAACTCTCGAAACGACCGGCCAGGTCGTTACTATATACCCCTACCGTAATACTATTTGTTCAAATATACCCCTCTTATGTTATGTTTGTCCAAGGTGGACATTCAATCCTTCGTGGCACTAACATTTGACCACATGACATGCCACCTCGGTGCCCCTAATCCATATATAAAAGACTAAAATTTGAAATACAATATTTTTTATGGCAGCGACAATGATGGCAATAGTGGTGGAGGGGAAGAAAATTTTTGTGGTGAAAAAAATAGAAGGGAGGGATACAATGGGTTAGGGCGCTGAGGTGCCAAGTCATATGATATCCACCTCATCAAATGTTAGTGCCACATAGGATTGAATGTCAACTTTGGACGAACTTAACGGAAAAAAGTATATTTGAATTAATAGTATAACGTTAGGGCTATATATGGACTAAGCGTATAACAATGAGTAAACCTTTTATAATAGGCGAAATACATAGTTTACCCATCCAACTTACGACCAAATCCCTGTTACACACCTGTTGACCACGGGTTTTATTTTACACACCAAACCTTTCAAAAGTGTGTCAATTACATACCACTTTCATGCTGGACCAGTTTCACAAAATGTGTGTGTATCACGCACCAATATGCTCGTGACATGTGTCATTAATTTAAAAAAATAAAAACACACTTAAAATTACATATATACCCCCTTCTTCATCTTCCCCACCTTGTCTTCCATTATCATTGTTCTTGAGAAAAATTTCCAGCAAGCCCAAAAAAAAAACATAACTAGAATCAAAGGCANATTTGGCCGCTTCTGCGGCTTTTGGGATTTGGGGCTCGACCGCTTCTGCGGTCTGGGGGCCGCATAGGCGGAATCGCTTCTGCGGTCCCTGGACCGCTTTTGCGGTTTCCCCCTAGACTGCCCCCTTCTCCGCTTCTGCGAACTATTGACCGCATCTGCGGTCCCCGCTTCTGCGGTCCAAGAACCGCAGATACGGTTATGACAGAAGCAGCAAGCTTCAGTCATTTTCCAAATTCTAACTTCACTCGAGCCTCGCTCGTTTGACGCTCGAGGCTCCCGTGCCCCGCCCGAACATACCGACAAGTCTGAAATCACGAGGCGGACCTACTCGAACCCTCGAAACACTCAAAACAACGCTAAATCGGGGAATCAACCCCAAAACCAAATGAATCAAATCATTGAACTTCAAGTTCTTAATTCTTCTCCAACGGGTCAAAACGCCCTTAAACTACTCGGATTGACACCAAATTTTACGGGTAAGTCTTAACTAATATTTCGGACTTGTGCCAAGTTTCGAAATCAAGATCCGAACACGATACCTAGGAAAACAAGGATTTCTTTGTTTATTTAAACCTTTGAAACTTTAACTTAACAATTTCACATAAAAATTCATTACTCGGGCTAGGGACCTCGGAATTCGATTCTGGGCATACGCCCAGGTCCCATATTTTCCCACGGACCCTCAAAAATTGTCAAACTAACGATTCTGGGTCCGTTTTTCCAAAATGTTGACCGAAGTCAAACTTGGCCTTTTTAAAGAAACTTAAAGAAGCAACTAGACTTATTCTTGCTCAAAACTCTTCTAACTTCCGAACCACCCATCCCCGCAAGTCATAAATTAGCATAAGCAAGTGCGGGAAGTCTTATTTAAGGGAACGGGGTTCAAAAATGCAAAACGACCGGTCGGGTCGTTACAGGCTACACCATATTTTTTTCCAAAAATTCTGGCCTACTCTAGGTCATAAAGTCATTAAACTATGTCAAGGGATTTTCAGCTCGAGAAAAATTCCGAGTGAGCTTAACAAGACATATGTTTGTTTAATCCCAAAATTCAACAATGCTAACAAACTACAAAACTTTAGACCTATCAGTCTTTGTAACACCCTTTATAAAGTAATTACCAAAATAATTGCTAATAGGCTTAAGCCTTTACTAAGTAGAATGGTTAGTGAACACCAAACTAATAGGCTTAAGCCTTTACTAAGTAGAATGGTTAGTGAACACCAAACTAGCTTTGTGAAACATAGAAGACCTAGTGATAATGCTATCATTATTCAGGAGGTCCTCAAACGTTTTAACAAAACAAAAAAGGAAAGGAAATTGGCTCCTAAAGCTGGACCTAGAAAAGGCTTTCGATAAATTGGAATGGTCATTTGTTTATCAAGACCTAAGGTTCCATAATTTCCCTCCTAATATTTCCTCTCTAATTTTGAGTTGTATTTCTTCTACGTCTATCTCAATCCTTGTTAATGGCAATAAGACTAAGGATTTCTGCCCTTCAAGGGGTATCAGGCAAGGGGACCCAATGTCACCCTACATTTTTATTTTATGTATGGATATGCTATCCAAAAATATTGAACATCAAGTTGACACTCTTCGATGGGATCCAATACTATTAAATAGGCAAAGCCCCCCCCCCCCTTCCCATTTATTTTTTGCTGATGATCTAACATTAATGGGTAGAGCTAATAAGAATACAATTACTACCATGAAAAAGAACCTGGATATCTTTTGCCATTTATCTGGCCCAAACATCAACAAAGAAAAGTCTAAATTACTTCTATCTAAGAACTGCACAAAGGACATGTGTAATTGGATCACTTCCTTGTTGGAGATTAAGGTCAGTAAGGACTTTGGTAGCTANATATAGGTCTGTTGTCATTACTTCGACGATGACTGAATACTCTCGGTTTTTTTTGTCCTACCTCTAATCTTGGACAATATATTGGTGGTATGTATGAAGGCATAAGAAGAAATGCTGCAATAATGGAAGAAGATGAAAGAATATGGATTTTATTCTAAAAATAAAGAAAGGATTTAGAAAATGAAAAGGCTGGACAGTGCTGTCAAAATGCCTTTAGACACAAAATTTTGATCGTTCACTCGCCTCTTATGTGTGAAAAACACGCGAGTGACACGTAATAAAAAATGTGTGTTTTTGACACGCTTTTGAAAGGTTTTGTGTGTAAAATGAAACTCGTGATCAACAGGTGTGTAACAGAGATTTGATCGTAAGTTGGATGGGTAAACTATGTATTTTGCCTTTATAATAGTACTGGATATATATGTCTCTTGTCCGTATTGCAATTTACACAAAATAAAATAAAATAATAATCTGTCAAATAGTTTAGTGATGGAGCAAGTCCAAAAGCAAACGTTTGGAATTAGAAGAGTTCAAAGGAGTGCAAGTGTTGAGACAGTTTTACCTGCTTCGTCTGTCGCCATCTCTATCCTCTCTTTCCTTTCCCCATAGATTTCTACACCCTTCACTCACAATCACAAACGCCCATTTTCCTGTACATATCCACATGCAATTGAGAAAATCCCAAGATTTTAAATAGAAAATAATCAGTTTTTTTTATTAGCACACAAAGTTAGCTCACAAACCAAGAGCAGATAAAAGTTTTGGGAAATACCCAAATAGTAGTCCCTTTTATCTAGAGAGTTGATTGATTTACTTTGATTGATTGGAAAATGGAGGGGAGCAATCAAGAGCAGCGGCTGAACGCGGCGGCGGTGGAGGAGGAGGAGGAGGAGGTGGAGGAGAGCAGTGATGATTGTACTTCGGAGGATGAAGGGACTGATGATTACAGGAGGGGAGGGTACCATGCGGTTCGAATAGGCGATAGTTTCAAAGGAGGTCGGTATGTTGTTCAGAGGAAACTTGGGTGGGGTCATTTCTCTACTGTTTGGTTGGCTTGGGATTCTCTCATGTCCGTACGTTTTCTCATCACTCTTTTCCTTTGTATTCATATTTGAGTTTAAGTTCTATGTGCTGACGGTAGTATTTAGGTAATCATATTCGTTATTAGGTGATTACAAGTAAATCGTATGAAAAAATATTACGGACTGAGCACGGAGTTTAAAAAAAAAAAAGTAAAACTTTTGAAACTCGTTGTCTAAAATAATCATCATTTTAAAGTTAATTGTTACTAAGTATAGAAATGTGCCATTTTTTTGGGGCTGATTAAAAAGGAAAGTGTGTCATGTAAATTGGGATGGAGTGAGTAATTAGTAATCTGAGAAAAATGGTAACTGACATTCGAAAACATGTTAAAATTCATGATTGTAAGTGTATATAACTTAAATCGTTCATCTTCAGCCTAGTTTAGATCAACCCCTTTTCTTGGAATTGTCATCATCTATTAGTTTTAGGATTGTGGGTGATCAATAATTTCATTTTCCTCTTTTTCTGGGCTGGTTAACTCTATCTTTTGGATTGTCTAGCTTTATGTTGGTGTTTATGACTCTTTTGTGAGCATAGCATCCTATCCAAATGGGGCGGAATTTAGATTTAGGATTCATATAACCAGCCGCAACTAGTTAGCGATTGAGGGGTATGTTGTAATTTTGATGTTAAAGTGCTAGATATAAAAGGGCACCGGATGCACTAAGCTCCCGGTGTGTGCGGGATCCTGGAAGGACTAGACCACATTGGGTCTATTGTATGCAACCTTACCTTGCATTTCTGCAAGAGGATATTTTCACGACTTGTACCTTCGGAAGGCTCCCCTATGGAAGTGCTATATATAATCGAAAAAAGGTTGAATCTTTAGGTTACTTATCAAATTTTTAGCAGTTAATTGCTTTTGATTGATATTTTATATTGTAGCTCTTCTAAGTGGTCTGGCATATAATATTTGGCCTAGTTTAATTAATTGTGCTGCATAAGCACGTAGCCGGCTTAAATCTCAGTAATTCCTTATGAATAGGAACTTAGTTTTGCAATTCTGTGTTTGTAGCAAATTTAATTTGTTACTCTCATGGGAAGTAAGAATTTGATGTGTATATTTTTGTTAATTATGCAGCAATTTGTAGCACTGAAAGTACAAAAGAGTGCGCAGCATTACACGGAGGCAGCAATGGATGAGATCACTATTCTAAAGCAAATTGCGGAATGCGATCCGGATGATAAAAAATGTGTCGTTAAGTTATTGGATCATTTTAAGCACTCAGGTCCAAATGGGCAACATATGTGTATGGTTTTTGAGTATTTGGGCGATAATCTCTTGACACTTCTTAAGTATACTGATTATCATGGACTGCCTATTCATATGGTTAAAGAGCTCTGTTATCATGTTCTAGTCGGATTGGATTATTTGCATCGACAGCTTTCTATCATACACACTGATTTGAAACCAGAGAACGTACTGCTCTGTTCCACAATTGACCCATCTAAGGATCCGAGAAAATCAGGAAAACCTCTTATACTTCCTAATCACAAGGATAAGATCACGCTGGAGTCAGGGGCTCTTAACGGTTATGTAACATCAAATGGAAATTTGACTAAGAACCATAATAAGAAGATTAGAAGAAAGGCCAAACAAGCAGCTCAATGTTATGTGAATGATCAGCTTGATTCTTCTGTTAATGTTAATAGATTGTCAAATGCTGAGGCTGCAACAAGCAGTGGGAAAGAATACGGGGGTCCTAAGAGAGGAAGCAGTTCTACAAGGAGGAAGCTGTTGGAGGGTGTCGACCTGAAGTGCAAAGTGGTTGACTTTGGGAGTGCTTGTTGGACGTACAAACAGTTCACAGATGATATTCAAACTAGACAGTACAGGTGTCCGGAAGTTATCCTTGGATCTAAATATTCAACCTCGGCAGATCTTTGGTCCTTCGCTTGCATTTGTTTTGAGCTGGCAACTGGTGACGTATTATTTGATCCTCACAGTGGTGACAACTTTGACAGAGATGAGGTACGGATGCATTCCTTGCGCTGCTTACTACTAATTTTCTGGTTTATCTTATGTTATTATGCTGGGTGTATTTCCGTATTTTAAGAGAGAACTTTGTGTTGACTTTGATATGGACCATTCTCTTTAAGACGCCGTAAGCACATTAAGTTGCGGTTTGGATGAGTGTAGGACTCGCTAAGTCAACGCCGTTCTTTGTGTACTAACTATAGAATTTGTTGGCCTGGCTGAAGATACTTAACATAGTTTTTTGTTTTCTTTACTTTGTCAATATAATTTTTTATTTTCCTTATAAGGATATGACTGGTCTAGAGATTCTTTTGTAGCTTGTAACTCATCTGATTCTGTCGTCAACCATGGTTACGTAGAATATCTGGGAGATCTCTAAGCAATTCTACTATCCCATGGCATACTTGGGGCACAAATAGTCATTCGCTTAATTCAACTTGATGATGTAAGATGATTGGACTTGAACAAGATTACTCCTATGGTTTGATGTGTCTTTGTTGAGTTAATTTATGTTATCTAATATATAATGTTATACAGTTAGTCTAAAATTATGACAAGTGTCTCCCCTTCTCTAAAGACTTTCAAATTCCTTAACTTCAGTTTCATTTTTACATAGAAGCATTGACTTATGCAAGTCTAGTGCTAATTTAATCATAAAAAATTTAGTAATAATTAGATTTCAAATAAATAAAAGAGTGCAATAATCTTTCTAATTAGAATTTTATGTTCAAAAGTCTTTTCTGGAAAACCTTGGATACATATGCAAATACTCGTTAGAACCCCAAAATACGATTAGAGGGGGGAAAGTAAAAGCTATAGAAGAACTTGAGTACCAAACCCGAAAATTCTAAGGCACTTTGTGAAGTAGCTCAGTACCTTTATAAACCCATCTTGAAAATCCTTAAATAATCCATGTCACAAATTTAATCAACACGTGTAACATAGTTTCTCAGGTACACACATATGAACTTTAATGCTAACTTACGAATGTGAATACAAGCTTGCCAATGTTTGCTCAATACAATATGAAAGAATATGAGTGTTTAACACAAAACTATAAGACAATGGTGTAGAAGATCAGTATCTTTATAAACCCCTTTGAAGCCCTTACACAACCCATGTGGTTTAACAGTTTAACTCCACAAAGGCTATATAGACACTTATTCTTTCTTGTAAAAGAGTGGAGGGAAGAATAAAAAGGGAACAAATTGTACAATGTGAGTTGTGACAAACAACTAGAAAGAAGGAAATAAACTCTTATTGTACAAAAAAGGGAAGTAAGAAACAATAGGGTTCTTTATGATAAGAGATTAGGTTAACATGAAATAATGGAAGTTTCTTGGTTATTGGAATTCTTAATTATGGCATGATTATTCAAAATATTCTATGCAATGATTGATAAGGTTTGTACATTGTACTTGGATACATTCTAACGCTCCTTAAGTAGGAGTGAATAGATCTCCACTTCGTGCTTACCACCTGTATACTCGATTCTTTGACTGCAGAGAGTTATACTTATATCTTCAATGAAGGATAAATTCTTACAATCCTTTTCAAGTTGGTGTGAATAGGTCATATACTCCAAGATTATCATGCATATACTTGATTACTGGACCTCAAAGTTGTTTGGCAAACGTGTTTGCTAGTTGATCATTTAAGCTAATAAATGTAGTAAAACTAAGTCTGTTGTATTTCTCACAAATATTGTGACAATCAACCAAAACGAGTCGTCCTCTTCTAGAACACTGGGTTGGAAGCTTAATCTCATTTATGTTACCTTTCTGACCTTTAGTTCTTCAAGCAATTGCTCTAGTCACATAAGCTCACATATTGCCAAAGCCATAGCTGTATATTCATTTTTTGCAATGCACTTGGCAATTACAGCATGCTTCTTTGTTTTTCAATTGATCAAATTTCACTAGCTAGTACAGGTTCCTTGGCATTGACCACTATAAGATGAAGTCGTAGCCTATTCTGCCTCAATATACCCAATAACTTTGGTTTCCGCATACCAGTTCCTGACTAACAGTACTCTTATACTTTAAAAATTGCATCTCAATGACCTAAGGATTCTGTAACAAATTGACTGATCATACTAACAGAAAGGGAAATGTCAGGGCGCTGTGGTGGTAAGATTATTCAACTAACCAACCAGTCCTTTATAGTGGACTTCATATGCCAAAAGGTTCCTTTTTTGGGTCCACAAGTACGTTAACGATTGATAGTCAATCATATTGGTATCATCTAAGATATCTTAAGCATATTTTCTTTGTGAGATAGTCACACCTTAGTTGGATTAGGCCACCTCAATACCAAGAGTAACTGAGCCAGCACATACCTTGGACATGGAAGTGAGTAAAGAGATGTTTTAGTGTCCCAATTCCACACGGATTATCATATATATATATATATATATATATATATATATATATATACTAGTATCTATGAACGTGCGTTGCACGTTAATATTGGCATGTGATGATTTAAATATTTATTTATATGAAGGTACAATAAAATTTAATTAATGAGATAAATTTATGTTAAATAATACAACAGTCATCTAAATACCAAAAAATATTATTTTATTAGCATAATACATGAATTTAAAATAAAAGAACATCATCAAAACTTACACAAATGATCAATTTTGTCATGTTAGTTAGATAATTATGTATTATAGTTTAAAAATATTTAATGTGATGATATATTAACGAACACTTCTTTGTGGACAATATTTTTTTTGTATATGTTTCCTCCTAATGCTTTGGTTGCTCTGCCTTAACGTGAACTCTTGTTGTCGATCTTGATATCCCTCTTGAAAGTGCAACATACAATTGTTTGTGCAAGAAAATATATTGCAGTAAATATAGCTTAATATTTAGGATGTTTGTCCTTGTGCTTTATTTATTATATTTGCAAAACATAAACATGCTAAAAATTATATTCACACAAATTTAGAAGGATATTCCTTAAATTTGTGATGGTTATTTAAGTTATTTGAAGAGGTATATCAAATCTAAAGTGAGTGGTCTCACAATAAAATTATTGTTGGTACACCACTTGCTATTATTGCTAATAGTGTCATTCCTCTTAATATGATATTTGCAAGTAATGCATGACATAGAAATATTATTTCGATTCCGCCGGAGGCATCTACAAAGAATAATCATGTTATACCAGAGTCGCCTCTTTATAATATAATCTTGAAAGCTTATTTTTTATTAGGATTTAGCTTTGATTGTGCTTCCTCAGACACTTGTATAGCATTTTGATTCTTAATAATATACTATCCTTTTTACTTTGTGTTCTAACGCTCTTTTTATGGAATAAATTTATTTACCCTAAGATTCTTTTTTTAAACTTGAATAAGAATTTTACTCATATGATGAATTTAAAAACAATTGAATTGGATTCTCTTGCTAAATAATTATTTTAAAAATTTAATTATTTGGTTTTAACATAAAAAATAATTTATTTTATGTTGATTCAGACCTTAATATTAGTTCATCTCTTGTTTTGAATATTTAATCTTAATTATAATTTTATCCACTATAAATTTTATTTTCAAAGACTAAAAGATTGATATGATATCTCACTTTTAGATCGTTATATTTGTAGAATCATTAGCGGTATTGACTCTTATCAACCATGTTTTTCTCTTTATCACACATTTATATTCTTAAATATTTTCTTAGTTGTTGTTTAATAATTGAGTATTTTTTAATATTACACGAAAAATTGATAAAAAATATTATTTGAGTAGAAAAATAGTTTAAATATAAAATGTATTAATAGTGGGGTATCTTTTTCTCAATTTCAACTCTTATGCAGTCCATTTAATATTATTTTTATTTTTTCTTGGTATTGGACATTATAGAGTGGTAATGTATTACCAATATGGAGGATTCTTATGAAATTAATTTTATTCAACTTTCCTACATATTTTTAATAAGAATTTAATAGATAAAATTTGCATAAATTTTTAAATTTTTAAATATTAAAAATTAGCATAGAAGGTGTTGTTGTCCAAAAAATAAGTTATTACAATTATGTCATTTCCGTACGAGTTCTTTAGCTTAATATTTTAGGGCTATTTTGATATATTAGTATTGTATTTATACTTTTATAATAATATAGGCTCTCCTTTTTCTAAATGAATTTGGACATTATAATACATTCTCAAATTAAATTAGTAATAGGATATTATAATACGTTTTAAAATTAAATTAGTAATAGGAATTTTTAAGAAGTATATCCTAAAAGCAATAGGATTACATGGCTAAAGATATTTACTTGTTCAATTTTATAAGAATTAGACATCTCGAAAGTAATTATACTAATAGGATTCCTAGAGGTAATCATGTAGGATTTCTAACGTATAGTATTATGTCCTAAAACTAATAGGATTATAAGGCTAATATCTAGAATTCCGGTTGTGTCCTTTTATTATGAGTTATTATGCTTAATATTATAAGGTTATTTTTTGTAAACCGATATTATATTCCTGCTTATATATATATATATACAAATTAAGTTACGTCAAATTACTGAACTAAATTTGAAGCGTCAAAACAAGACTTGAGCTGTTCCTTTGGGGTTTTTCTTGGACGTTGAAATAACCAACTCCAAATTTGAACAGATAAGGGAAATACAACTGTTTCACTGTAACAACCCAACCCACTAGTAATAATATCCGCTTTGGGTCTTAGGCCCGCACAACTTTTAAACTCGTCATTAGGGTTTAAGGCTTCCTTCTTTATATACCCAATATCTCTTGTGTTTTGCTGATGTGGGATTTCCTTGGGTGTTACATAAACCCCCTCTTTAGGAACTCAACATCCTCACTCTGAAGTTTGCCCCACCATTATCTCAAAGATGTGGGATTTGCCTATACCTAATTGAAACTCAAGGTTTGCCCCAACATTGCCCAAAGTTGCACATAGAGTGGCTTTGATACCATATGTAGCAGCCTAGCCCACTAGTAATATGGTCCGTTTTGAGCCTAGACCAACATGGCTTTGAAGCATCATTAGGGTCTACTAAGGCTTGCTTCCTTATATACCCAACATCTCTCGTGTGTTTTGCTAATGTGGAATTTTCCTATGAAGTTACATTAACTAGACAAAGCATTACCATAGTCCCTGCAGCTGTTCATGTAATATAGAAATGTATGAGATTATGATATTACATTATCGAAAAGGTTGAAAGATAACCCTAAGTAGGAAATAAGTGAAACAGAGGGGAAGGACTTGGTTCGGTTAAGGTAAGTAAGGCGGTGGTGCACTAGTGTAGCTGGCTGTACACCAGTGCATCTGCCTAACTTGTGCATGTGCTCATTAAGAAACAAGCCCCGTACATCATACTAGAAATGATTTGTAGTTGATGATGCATTTCTCTAAGTTATGTGTGATTGCTTCATTATTGTCAAAAAAGGTTCAAACTTGTATACAAGTCAGCTCAACCTCTGCAGTTTCACGACTAGAAGTTATAGGAAAAATAATATGCTTTAAGGATTCTAATGGTAACTGGTAAGGCTACTAGTATTAGAACAGAGATCATCAATAGTTCTTTCTCTCGATTGCTGAATTTGTGAAAGTGGGGGGACGAGTCGGAGGGATAGTTCAGTCGCTGGAAGAGTATAATCTTCTGGTCATCCTGGGCATCATAATACCACTTGTAGCCTATATCATACTGTAGCTTACAAGTACAGGATTAACCTAGGCACAGTTTTTTCCATTCCTTGTTTGTCTCTCCAAATTCCATGAGTGAAATTGTGGAACACTCCTTTTCGTCCGCTCTTTCCTTACAGATTGACATCAAGTTCAATCACATGTCTCTTGTTGATATTCTAACCATCTGTGTTTATTAGCTCATCTGATGCTTTAGTTTTGGTTGGTCAACTATTTTTGCCATTAGGTGATAAACGGTTTATGGGAATAAATTGACCAAAAAAGAGGAAGATATATAGAAATTATGGTTTTTGCTATTCCTGATTTCCTGTTACTGCATTTAGATGTAAAATCTAGAGGACAAAAAGTACATGGTGTGCTGAGCATCATATCCAAGTTATCTATTTACTTTTCTTCCGTACTACGTACCATATCTTTTCTCTTACGGTGTTTTTGTTCTATTTTTTGTAAAACATGGATCACCATGTTAGTTCTTCCGGTCTTGGTAATCACTCCTTTTATATGTTTTCTGGTAAGTGAACCCTGTTAATCTCAACTAACACACTGGATTCAACTTACGGTCACACTAGAGAGAAAATTTGAGGAATTTTTTGTGTCCTCTTTGGTCGATGAACAAAGGGCTAGAAAACTGGTGGTTGCCACCAACTGATGATGGTTGGAATTAAGTCATAATGGAACTTAAGAAACATGGAGATGAAACAACATATTTTGATAACAGAATTGACAATGCGACTATTGTAGTTTAGAGAGTATAGTTGCCTTTTCTATTCTGGTTTCCGGAGGAAAACTCAGGTTTTTTCAGTGCAAATGATGCAACAAAGCACAATTTGGTTGTGCATTTGGTCTGATATTGAAAATACTTGGTCCTTATCAAACAGGAAACATGAATTTTGTAAATAAAGTTGTTGTCATTTGCTGCTTCAGTTAGCTTTTGCTCTATTTAAATTAAACTTTTCAATCAAGTTAGACGTGGTCGGCTATATCAGAGAATATTTGAACACTAACCGTCAACTCATTGCAACCCTCCTACTTTATCCAGGTTTTGAACCTGCTTTACTTTAGGAAGCCACATAGACAGAGCATACTTAAACCTAATCTTTTTATGGTTATAAAATTTAAAGGGGTAACTGAAACGTTTCAAAAGACATACGGCAGTATTTTTCAGGACTCTTATATGCGATTGTTGTCTGTTAGCAAAATGCAAGTCATCCAAACGTGGTTTCTGCATCTTTATGGTGATTTAGTACTCAATTTTTCGGTAATGATGAGCACAGCAAAACCTATTCTTCTTCTCTTTGCAGGACCACTTAGCACTAATGATGGAGCTTCTAGGAATGATGCCACGAAAAGTAAGAAAATTCTGTAATCACTTCAAACTTCTTTGGATCATGTTTTTTTTTTCCTTTAGTAGTTTTATAAAGTATGGTATTTTCTTTTCAGATTGCCTTGGGTGGTCGTTATTCACGTGAGTTGTTCAATAGACATGGTGACTTGAGGCACATCAGACGGTTGCGCTTTTGGCCCTTAAAAAAAGTTTTAATAGAGAAGTATGAATTCAGTGAGCAAGACGCAAAGGACATGGCCGATTTCCTGGTCCCGATACTTGATTTTGTCCCAGAGAAACGGCCTACTGCAGCTCAGTGCCTTCTTCATCCGTGGATCAATGCTGGTCCACACCTGTTAGAACCTTCCTTGCCCGACACACAATCAAAAGCTATTGATACTCTAAACTCTGTCCAAACCAAGAAACAGAATGAAGAAACGGAGGCAATGGAGGTCGGAATGGGGAAAATGGCTATCAACAAGGACACGAGAAGTTTCAGAAGTTACTCAGTCAAATTCTGATACTTATTAGACTACATCATCTTTGTCTAAGATGGTGTTCAACGACTTGCTCTTTGATCCATTTGCACATGGAACAGTCTTATTGTTGAGCGAAATATATCTTCATTTTGGTATGGTTATTACAAGACGGGGACGCTAGGTAAATGTGGAAGTGAAAAGGTTTGCGTGGCCGCGGACCAAATTTGAGCTGCTCCAGAAACAAGTATGCAAAGGAGACTGCAGATTTTTGGACCATTTCTTCACCTTGAAAGTAATATATCAAGTCATTAAACCAATGTACAGATAAGGAGCAATTATAGCACACTTAACTTTAGAATCAATGTCATGTCTATATAAAATTCATATTGATTTTGATATGATGCTTATCTTGAGCAATTTAATTTGAAGTCCATTCTTTTCACAGCTGTTCCATTTTCATGTTTGCACCATTTATTTACACCCTTCTGGTTGTGGTTTTATGATTTCGACCTAACAAAAAAGGGAAGGGGAGCCTTGGAGCAACGGTAAAGTTGTCTCCGTGTGATTTATAGGTCATGGATTCGAGCCGTGGAAATAACCACTAATGCTTGCATTTTAAGGTAAGTAGTCGGCATCACACCACTTGGGGTGCTGCTCTTTCCCTAGACCGTGCGTGAATGCACGATGTCTTGTGCGTCAGACTGCCCTTTTTTTGATACTCAAAAGGGCATTTGTTCGAAAAATTTCAAGCTTGGTTATTTCTCCCCACTTGAGTTAATTGATTAAAAGTAGCTAATAAATATCAAGTACTTAAAATCATATTTAAGTGCTAAAATTAATCAGTTAGGTGTCCTGATGAAAGTGTTGAAACCGATAATAAATAGTTGGTGTGTTTGGTAGAAAGGTATTACTCATTAGCCATTTTTATGCTAAAATAGTGGCATGCCCATAAATTGGTTTACAGAAGTTATAACTTCAAAAGAATTTATACATGAAAAGGTCAAATGATGGAAATGGAATGGAGGGGAATTTATGAGTCTTGTTTGGGGAAGAAATTTCAGAATTACCAAAAAAAAAAAAAAAAAAAATTAGGGATAAAATAAGTAAAAAACTTGGTAAAATCAAAAGTGTTTATCAGTTGAAAAATCATAAGTTGGGGGTGACCATCATTTAGATAATTGGCTTATAATAACTTCAGCTTATAAGCATATCTGGTGTTTACCAAACACGAAAATTTATAAACTTACCCAAACACCCTCTAAATTAATGTTTATTTTGCAAGATTTTTTTTTCTAGTCTTATCTTCTCTTCCAAAAATTCTCCTTTGTCTCTAAATTCTGCACTTGACAACCAAAACTATTCCTTATTTTCCTAATAGAATTTCTTCACTATTTGCTTTAGTGTAGAAATTCAAAAGTCTTGTCACATTCATTTGCATTAAAATCTCCAGCAACTTGCTAAGGAGAAGGAGCAATATTGCGTTTGATTTTTTTTTTTTAACGTGTTTCAAGCCTTTATCTTTTGTATTCTTTTTTCATATATTTTCCTTAGGCTTGAAATAATAAAGCAAAAAATGGATAAAAACAAGAAAAGCAAAATTAAATAGATGCGTGAAGCTCGTGACACTAGGGGGTCGTTTGGTTGGAAAGAAGTTATCCCAGGATTAATTATCCCGGGATTAGTTATTCTACCTTTCCATGGGGATAAAAAAACACTACTATCCCGGGATAACGTTTGGGTCTGCAATTTCGGTGTGATATAGAGAAGCAGGGAAAAGCTTTAAAGTTTTAACAAGTTTCTTTCGGCTCGAGCAGTATCAGTTCTTCTCTACAGGTTTGCTTGCCCTCGTTCTCTGGTTTATAGAAAAATTTATTGGGTAGTGAAGTTGTATAATACAAAAAAAAAAAAAACTATTATTGGCAGCGATTTTATTTAGTTTAGACTTGGATATCATGTAGTGTTAAAAATTGGATGAAAATATTTTAGGAAAGGTTGAAATCGATAGAGTATGGATCAGTTTAAGTGAAGAACTCTTGACAGAAAGCTACTTCCATAAGGACATGATATAGTTATTAACTTAAACGAGCTTTAGAAGTTTTAAAAGCAGTCTGGTATTGCCTTCTACAGAAACTTTACTTTAGGCTAAGAAATTTATATATGACATAAGTAACGTGATTAAGACATAGAAGTACTCTCGGGTAGAGTGGAAAAATCCAATTTGGCAAATCAAGAGTCAAACAAGAAATCATAAGGGCTGGTTATTTTGATTTGGTATGTTGACGGTTCACGAATGATACATAGATTGATTTTAACACAATTTAGGTGATTGAAGAAGTCGAACGGATTGCTCGTGGTGACACATTCGGTGATTCGGCACAAGTCCTATGAGTAGTAATCTTATCACAATTTGTATTTTCATAACCTGCATGGTTTATATATGATTTTGAAAATAAATGTATTACCGATGCTTTGAAATTGCATGTGGGACAAGTCCGTTACTTGATATGATACCGAACAGTTTACTTGCGATGTTTACTGATTAATCTAAATGTTTTCACTGTTACTAGATATGCTTTACCGTTACTTGAGATGCTACAGTTATTTAAAGTATTCTCACTGTTATTAGACATATTTTACTGTTACTTGATACATGATTACTGTTATCGAAATAAAATTACCAGATTTGATAAGGAATGATATGCCCTTTATTATTTTGAAAATGCTTTTGTACGAATATTTACTATTTACAAGAAAGAGTATAAATGGGAGGAGACTTTGAAAGATCCCGTAGCTAACGACGGGATCGTTAGACCTGGTGCACCTTGTATTTACAGATTATCGATTACCGATTACGGTTATAGCCCTTGCTAGTGGGAAGGTAACACTAGCATACAGTTACAGTTTTCCCTCGAGTAGGGACCTACAGTTATATTTGACTCCTTTTATGAAGGGGTCCACACAATGATACTGATTACATGATCCTTTCTTGAAAACCTCCCAAACATAAAGATTTGCTATGACACAGGTTACCGAGTTTATTACCGATTTGTTAAATTGATTTATGTTACAGGGAACACATGAATAGACTGATTATATTTACCGTTTTGGAAAGGGTATTCTTATGATATTTTCTGGTTAATATACTAGCATGCTTTCTGACTTGTCCCAATTAAAAACGGTTGTGGTTAACTGTTATTACTCACTGAGCTAGCGACTCACTCCCCGCTATTTTTTTTCCAGAGACAGCAGTTGACGTGAGCGAGGATTTCGATAATTATAGTATACAAGTTGATAGATCATGGTGAGTCTCGCACTTGTTCACGTGGGGGAAGAGTTTAATTATTATTACCGTCCTTTCTTTTGAACTCTTAGAGTCGCTCCATAGTCATTTTTATTAGTGTCACGAGTATTCATTCGTTATATTGGACTAGTTATTAGTATTGTATTTTCTTTTCGTATTTTTGAGATGGACTTAGTATTATTACGGTAGTGTTGGAAAAAACCCGTTTTCGGTTAGTTCATGAAGATTGTGGTTGGTATTGGTGAATATTTGTTGGTTGTATTATTTATGAGACATGAAAACTTTTGGATAGTCCTAAAACGGGGGATACTCTGTCCGATTTTCTGTAAAATACCGATGAGGCTTACTTAGGAGAACTTGCTCCTAAGTGCCGATCATGATTCTAAATTGGGTCGTGACAAAGTTGGTATCAGAGCCAGGTTATCCTTGTGACTAATGGAGCACACATCGGTAGTAGAATCTCAATTATGGTTATGTAGCCGACCATTCCCATAATCATGATTCTGCGAGGGCGTGAAAGGATGTGTCTTGTTTTTCTTCTTATCCTCCTTACGTGTGTGCGATTAGGGCCAGATAACCCAATATGTCACCTTTTATCTTGTTCCGGTTTGGCTAAGACCAATCATCCAATAATAAAATTTGGTTAGAGATTTAAAGATACAAGTGCTGCCACTGAACAATCAATTGTTACCCAACAAAGGAGGGGCTATTGTACCCCAACGAGGGACTTTCATACTCCTAAGATGTGTAATAGATTCCATTTTAGAAAGTAGCACTAGTTCACTATTATAACAATAGAATAGAGTCGTCACAAAGTTACTTACATTTATGTAAAAGGAACAATTTAGATCTTAATGGGTATAATTGGTAGACAAGAGAAGGATGGAAACAAAATGAAGCTTTAGAGGCCTCAGACACCTAAATTGGCTAAGATTATCGGAAATAAAGATGTATCCTTAATAAAGTTCCTAAAGTTGAAACTATCAAGTTTAACGTTCTAATAGTTCGGAGGATCCTCCGATACCTTAAGGAATTTTTTTTTGTGTTATGGGCTCTAGAATATACTAGCAAAAGGTCCGTTTAGCTAGAGTTTACAGATCGGAGAACTAGCCAATTAATTGTATGATATTGTACTGTTAGGAACATCGATAGGAGCAACACATTTTACTTGGGAATGGGTTCTCTAAACTATTTATGAATCGCTTGCTTCTTGTAAGCCAAAAGCGTGAATCTACTAGGTAAGAAATTAGTTAACGCAATAGATGTACCGATATATGCCACTAGACTTCCTCAGCTAGCTAAATATATATTATCTAAAGTTTAAGGAATTGTCTGATGGGTGCTTATTAAATAAGGCAGTAACCTCATATACGAAGAGTATGGTCTATTTTATGGTAATTGAGCTTGCTAAAAGATTGAAAACATGAGTGTAATAGGTATGCAACAAAAGTTTTATGAGGACGCATAAGATTGGGAAATTCATTAGGCGAGCATTTTAGCGGGGGCCAAACAATTGGAAACATGGACTATGAGATGTTGAATGATCCCTTTGGGTTGTTATTCATGTGGGAGGATCTAAGTTAACTAAATATATTTAACGAGCTTTCCAAATTCAAGCTGAACATAGAGATATCTTAGTCGACTTGATATTAGTTAATATAGTCTACTTGAAATAAATCGGTTATGTTCTTGCCATGCCACCATCGATTACATGCAAAGGAAGTTGAGTTTGAGATACTAAACTAACCCAATTTTGTCTTAAGAGGAGAACGATTTCCAAAGATAGATAAGTATTCTAAGTAAGAAGAGATTTTTGGATTTGAAAAAAAAAAAAGAAACAACTTAGCTGACAATTACATGTTATATCATGTATCAAGGCTCAGCGTTACTAAAGATTGGTTGTTGGGTCCTTAGCTATGATAAGAGACATAAAGAGACAAGACACCTAACTCGAAAAAAAAAGAAGGTACCAATAGCTAGAGAATTCTTTGATATATTTTTGAGGATTTTCCAGGACTACCTAGTACGAGAATAGTCTTTGGTATTGATTTGACACCTAGCATGCAACCCATATCGAAACCCCCTTATTGTATGAAATCAGCAGAGCTAGATAGAGATAAAGGAATAGTTGCAAGACCTACTG